AGAGAGAGAGAGGGAGTGAGGGAGGAAGAGAGGGAGACGGGGATGGAGAGTTAGAGAGAAGGAGAGAAAAAGAGGGACAAAGAGATATATCGTTTAAACCAGAGACAAAGAGGGCTAAAGGGAAAGAAACATTACATTAATTCATACATTAAGTGCTTTCCCTGATTTTAATAATTTGAAGTGAAGCATCACGATCTGGGGCAGGCAAGAGCTTATGCTGAACACTTTTCATTTGCTTTTCCTTTGCCCCATCCTTTGCAACAGTTGGAGCGACATAGTGCTCATAACTCGAGTCCGCCGTCGTGCTGGCCTCTTATCCACCTACATTCTAATGAGACAACGAAGACTTTACCAGCTTGGTCGTGCGAGCCGTATGGCGAATGCCGAATTCTTAAAGGCAACTAACTTCTAGCGAAAGACCATAAGGAGGTCCCCAGTTAAGATACAAAGACGACTGCAAGCGCGAAATGAAAGCTTTGGACATCGGCATATTATAGCGTTCCGGGATGACACTGCAACAAACTGCAGTAGCTGCCACTGATTACTCATAAAACAACGGACAAAGGCAGAAGAGAAGATCCTGTATCCGACACAAAAGGTGAGAGACAGACAAAAGGCATGTCCACTCGGAGATCTACCCATAACTAGCCATACCTGTACCATCTGCCCATAGCTAGCCATATCTGTACCATTTGCAGCTGAGATTGCCATAATCCTGCTTTGGCATCACCAGCCGCCTACTGCAGCACCTTGAACTCTCAGGGCAAAATATCCATGGGGACATTCGACTAAAGAAAACCTACAACTGCACTAAAGTAACCCTGTCAGATGCTGCCAAAATAATATCTGGTCGCTAATCACACCTTTTCTCTTAAGTAATGTCATTTCCTCTGATCTTACCTCTGGTTTTGTCGGCGGTGACTCTCGCAGTTTGACTGGTCCACTTGAGTCCTTCTCGTTAAGCCGCGGATTGCTGGGGTCCTGGGAGCACAGAGAGGGTTGCATATAGACACTATTTTGTTCGTGGTTTGTGAATTAAAATGAGTGTGGGTACTGAATCAGTCTTTATCTCACATTAAGCAATATTTTTGTCCTTTCCAAAGTACCATAGTGTTAATGAGTCAGAGGGCGAAATTGCAGACCAGTGCATCACAGAAGAACCCTACTTAAGGAGGGATCTTTATGATTTCTAACATGATTAAAACTTATTATGTAAACACCGACACTCATGTCTTCCCCAGAACACAACATCATGGAAATTTATAACTACTTTTACCCGATGGCATAAGATAGTTGCTAGATATCTTCAGTTCCCTGCAACATTGAAGGAATGGATTCTACTGAAAAGCCAGAACCCTATTACTTGCCCCCCCCCCCACCCTTAAAGAAAGTAGGCTATTAATA